CCGCCCGCGCCGCCCGGCCCCCGCGCCGCCGCCGCCGCGAGTCCAGCTCCCAGGAAGAGGATCTGATCGATGGCTTCGCCATCGCCAGCTTCAACACCCTGGAAGCGCTGGAGGTAAGAGCGCCGGGGGCCGGGGGGCTCTGCCCTCCCGCGGGGCGGGGGCTGGGAAGGGAAAAGGAAAGGAGGGAAAAAAAAAAAAAAAAAAAAAAAAAAAGGGAATTGAGAAAGGAAGCGCGGCGCTTTCAGGCTGCTGAATTTTGCAAATAGCAATTAACGTGCATTAATCCTGGTGTCAGCCCGGGGGGATCCCGGGGCTGCGGTCAAGAGGGTGCCGGGCCAGCCCGGGTGATCGCGGCTCCGCTGGTAACTTGCTGTGCCCCCCTTTCCTTGGTGCTTCCCTCCCCCGGTCCCCTCCTCTGCCCGGCTCCGGCCGGTGTTCGCCATCACTTCGGGTCAGTCGAATGTTTGTTTGGGGTTTTAATTGGCTGCAAAATATTCCTGGCGTGTTGGGATGGTCCGGCATTGTTGTGAATGGTGGAGCTTCCCCCCTCCCGCCCTCCTTCCTCCCACTCCCCCCTCCTCCAGCTCGGGAGTTTGTGTTTGCATTGCCAAAATGTTACTTTATCTGTCTCCGGAGATTGTTAGCAAATGGCTAGTGTTTGACATTTTGTGGAAAAGAGATGTTTAAATGGATAATAATCCCTCGGTTGTAATTCCCATTTTTGAAGTAATTGAACAAATTCTTCATCTCTTGTTGACTGTACATATTTTTCTGGTGTTAATAGGCTGGCAAAAAATATTGCTTGTCTAACTTATTACAAACAATATTTGCTGAGCAAATACTGCCTGCCTTGTCTGAGCTAAGTTAAGCAGAGCAGGAAATTTAATATTTTCAGAGGGGCATTGACAAACTATGAGTTTGGCTTTTGATTTCTGTTTTGTTTGTGTTGTGAGGGGAAGGAGTGAGTTGTTGAGAGAAAGCACCTAGCAAGTGATTTGTTGGGTGTAATAACTTGAATTCCCAGTGAATGTGAGCAATCCTGGTGCCTTTGCCCACTTTCTTTGACACACCATGGTGAAAACGTGGGCAAAGTTTTGGGTGCTCTCCCTGCTTTGGATTTCCTGCCACTTGTCTGTCTATTAAGCTGGTTACAGTGGTGAAGAGTTCTGCTGAACTGATGAATACTTTCAGATTTGCCCTGGGATCTTCAATGTCTTTGGCTCAGACTTTGAGGTCCCATTTTGTCTGTGGACTTTGCCCGCCCCCACACAGGCCTCTGGTGGCATCGTGGTTTTTGGGAGTTTTTTTGCCTGTGGAACCAACTTCTCAGAGTCCCAGTGGTAGTCCCTGTGTGCTTGTGGAGGGGTGAGCGGTGGCCTTGGCCATCTGTCCTGGTGTTGGGACCCTTGCTGGGGGAGCYGGGGGTTCTGCTCAGCAGGGACATTCAGCCTGGTGGTCCCTGAGCAGCTCTGGGTGTGCAGGTGCTGCAGAGGGAAGGAGTTTGTGTTCTCTTGGTGATGGCTGTTCTTTGGCTCTTTGCGGTGTCATTTGCGGGGTGTTGTCCTAACAGGAAAGTCAACTACTTTGGCTATGCAGTGCTGATAATGAGCGAGCAATCTGCCCTCGTGTGCCTCTAAACCAAGCCCTAGACCTGTCTGTATATTCTTTTTTTTTTTTTTCTTGGCCATGCTCGTAGTCAAATATGCATCAGCAGATAGGTCCAATTAAACCCCCAAGTCTCTACTGAGCTGTCAGGGAAGAAAGTAAAATTCATCTTCCTGCAGAAATTTTCTACCATGATGAGCAGCACATTATCAGGAAATAGAATTCAAATGATAGTGCAGTCCCTCCAGGCTGATGGGGAAAACTCTGGGCTTTTCAGATGGGGTGAGCCTTGTTGTTGAATCACCCAAACCACGACCTTGATAATAAGGCACACAGGCGTAGAAGGTGACCTTAAATATCTGCCACCCCAAGGTACTTAATGGTTGTGGAAGCATTTCTGGTTTTTCTTTAAAAAACTCCAGTTCTTTACAAAATGATCCACTTTAAAATTCTTGTAAAACCTCTAGTGTCTCKTGAAATTGATCGATTTCTGCTATACTTACCAACATGTTAGAAAAAGTTTGTCTCTGAAACCATGGTGSTTGGCACCTCAGAGGGAGAAGTGTGAGCAGAATTCCCCTGTTTCACACCAACCGGGTGTGCTGTATTCCAGGTGGTATTCTTGGGCATAATGATTGTGTGCATTTCCAAAATCCCTGTAACTCTAGAAAGAAGAAAATAAAGCACTCTACACTGAGTGGATTTTTCCTTGCAGCTCTGCTGTGGAGCATGGGTGATGTCTGGCAGATGGGATGCAGCAGCAAGGGAAGGGGAAGGCAAAAGGCAAAACTACTTTAAAGCATTATATGCCCGTGTAAATGACAGAAATGGCATCTCATTTTGCATGGTGTGGAGCTGTCTTCTCTGGTGGACTTGACTGCAACAGGTGGTTTTCTTCTGCTTTGGAGGAAGTCTGTATTTTGGTGTACATTGGTTGTTTGAGAAGACTTAAAATGTGCTGTAWTGTTATTTAAAAATAGGTAAGAATTGAAACCTTCTATGCTCATGATGGGGAAGAAAGTGTAACAGGGAGTACATGGCCTAGGGACAGTACTGAACTAAGAAATTATTTTATTTATTTTTTTAATTCTAAAAGGAGCTTTTGTTCCATACATGGTCATTCATTGTGGTGTTCCAGGTTGGTTTGTTTCTTGATGTTAYAATGATCTGTGTTTATGTTTAATGGACTAAGCTTTGGGTTTCCCCTTGGAAATGAAATTTCTCAGTGTTTCGGTGGAACTTAATGCTAGAATCATTTGGGAGAGGTAAGGTGGTTTTTGGTTTGTTTTTCTTTATAGCTCACCATGTTGTGAATTCCCCTTCCCCACTGAAGCAAATTCTCACCGCTTGGTGTTCCTGTAAATAAAGGGTACTTTATAGAMTAAATATATGTACTCGTCCTTTGTGTTGACCTGGGAGTATGAGCAGTTAAGGTTAATACTGAGGGGTGGCTTTGAGGTCTCCTTTAGCTCTCYGGTGTGAATTTTAAGCATTTTGGATTTTAAACTCGTGGTAATGTTTCCTTTGGCAGTTGTCATCTGAAAGTCATGTGTCTTGTTTCAGGGATACTTGTGACTTGACTTATGTATCTCGTATCCTACCATCTTCCAAATAAAGACAGAGTTGATGATATATATATATTTTAAATTAAGTAACAAAGAAAAAAAAAAGCCCACGGACAAAAGCAGCAGTCTCTGTGTATGAGAAKTKAAAACTTCTCCTTTCTCCTYCTTCCTTKGGATCTCCTTGTATAAATCCAGCTCAGATTTCATGCAGGTTGCAGCTAATGTGTGTGTAGTGGTGTTTTGCTTGGGATTTTTTAATACCCAGCCACTCACCACGGCTTTGGACTTAACCTGGAAATGCAGTTTGCTCTGACCTCTTGGCTTGAGGTGGTCAGTGGGATGGGCAGATGGAAAARCCATCAGGTGCTGCCCAGGAGATATTCCTGTGCCAGGGGTCAGGAAAGCTGGCGGGCTGAGGAAAGGGGGATTTCTCCCCGCCTTCCRAAATGAATGGTATGGATGTGAGCATGTGTGTATATTCATTACGTTCAGATGAAGCTGCTAATTATTCTTGAAGGTGATTGGTGAATCAGAGCGAGAGAATCTAAATGAGTGAGTCGGTAGTTGAGGGCTCTCTCTGATCATAGCTGTTCCTTTCAAGTATGAAAAACAGCGCTAAAAGGGAACTTCATCAGAATGTTAATGAATGCGATCTTTGAGAGCAATTGTTCTCCCAAAGTAGTTGAAAAGACAAGGGGTTGTGTTTTCTTTTTGGCCGTTGTTTATCATTTTTACAGATTCCAGCAAAGCTTTGGAGCTCTGAATGGAAATTTTAACTTTCTTTAGGGGGGGCGGTGTGTGTGTGCGCACGGGATTTTTTTGAGGATTGTTTAACCTATTTATAGAATCTCGTGGAGAATCCGTGCTCAGATGTGTGTGGAGTGATGTGTTGTGTAGAAGCAGATCCCCGAGCTGACAAGGGGCAGACCTTGACTCATGCACGTGGTGTTGAAGTGGGGATGCTGTGCTTACAAGCGGAGCGGGGTCCCAGCCGTGCCCCAAGGAGATTAATGCTGTACCCACTCTCAYTGTTGTTTTATCCAGAGCTCTGGCACTGCTGCCTGGCAGTCCCTTCTCTGCTCTCTGCGCCTGAGTGCAGCAGAGGTTGGAAAGCCTGTTGGTGATAGCAGGCTTCTGGACAAAATCCATAAGTTCTCCAGCTGTCATCTTGATAAGGTTGTTCCCACATGTGTGTTGTACACTGTCCTGTTACTGTTGCTCTGATCTCTCATTGATAGCAAAACCAATGTATTTAACTGCAGCTTCCTGTTTTAAAGGTTTTGTGCTAGTTACACTGACCCAGCAGTGTAATTTCTGATTTGTCACCACCTCTGTCTATGTCTGCCTTGCAGCTTAGTTTTTCCATAGCTAGGCTTGTGTTTTAAAACAAGTTTTTAGATATTTAAGTGTCTTTTCCTTCTACTTAATTGTCGAGTGATGGTGTGTCAAGCCGGTGTTTCTGATGGCCAGTTATTCCTCTTAAAAAGTGCTTTTAACCCCAGGAAAGCTAATGATTTTCTGGATGATGCTCTAAAGGCTCTAAATGCCTTTTGGTTTTCCTGAAGGCTTGCTAGGCTGCATTGATTTGTTCTCCTAGCTGTTGATTTTCTTCTKGGTTTTTTTTTTTTTTTGCATCTTGTCTGAAGCAGGTACTTGAGGTATCTTTGTTGTTGTTGAGGAATCAAAGGTGGTTAATGCAGAGCTAAAACAGAGGGGGAGAGCTCTGGAAATCCTGAAATATCTGCTCAGCTGGGSCAGGAACTGAGGGTGGGCTGGGGTAAGGAAGGATCCATCTCCTCTGCTGGATAAGGAATTCTGTACCTCATCAGTGAAACCTGCCAGGATCAAAAGTGATGGGGTGCATGGCAAGTACAATCCTTGGCTGGGGTCATCCCTGCAGCCAMGGTCAGGCCACCTTCAGTGCACGTAGAGTGGCTGCAGTG